CTACCTTCTTCCCCCGAATACAACGTACGGTCATTATAGCTGTATCTAGACTGAAAGATGCCTCAAATACAGCTATAATGACCGTACGTTGTATTCGGGGGAAGAAGGTAGTTTCTGAGACTTGTTAGGGGTTTAAACCTACAGTCTGCTAGGATTACAGGGTTGCTGTGAGTGAAGCCGACCACCACTTTTCTCTCTCAAGAAAGTGTAGGGCTAACTCTGCGCGACCTGGTTTGTCCTTATCCATCAGTCAGACGCATCCTGGGCAGACTGTCTGTCTAGGTTCAACCTCCTGATGAGTCAGTGAAAGTTCAACGAAACAGTCTGGCAAAATCATGCTTTTTTTTTCAGTGGAGTTTTGTGTAGCGATCATGACAGCACACACGCACACACACAATCAGAGAGAGAGAGAGAGAGAGAGAGAGAGAGAGAGAGAGAGAGAGAGAGAGAGAGAGAGAGAGAGAGAGAGACATACAGAGGACACGACCGCTGCAAAACTGGGTAGCGGGCATGCTCTTGCACCTGGTGACTCTGGTGAAGAGTCGAGGAAGGAAGGAGAGAGAGAGAGAGAGAGAGAGAGAGAGAGAGAGAGAGAGAGAGAGAGAGAGAGAGAGAGAGAGAGAGAGACACAGGAGAGAGAGAGAGAGAGACAGGAGAGAGAGAAGGGGGGGAGGAGGGGAAGGTGGGAGCCTTGCCAAACTTCGCGAAATTGGGAAAAGAGATGCTGCTGTCAACTGCCGGCTACTGGGGGATTGACAGCGAGCCATTATTATGGAATAAAAAAATAAAAAATTAAAAAAACAGATGCTGCTGTTAAAAGCGGGCGGGATCTAATACGCGCTTTCACTCCTTTTCTTCCTTCCTCCATTTTGCCTTCTCTCAAAACTTTTTTTTTTTTTTTTTTTTTTAAACCTCTCCAACTTCTTCGGAATACAAATTGGTCCCGGGAAAAAAAAAAAAAAAAAAAAAAAAAAGAAGAATACAAATTGGCTATGAAGCGAACATTGTTTTTGGCTCTCTCACTGCCCACTACCGTCTTCACCCGAATACAACGCACGGTCATAATTGATGCATCTGGACTCAAAGTTGCCCCAAATACGGCTATATAACGACCGTACGTTGTATTCCGGTGAAGACAACGGTATAAAGACCAGGTGAAGGCGGGAAGAGGCGGATCGGGTATGGATATAGGAGAGAACAGGAGAAGCAGTGAACAAAGGCAAAGCGGATGTGGTAGAGCGGGCTACCGGTAGGGGAGGGCAGAGAGGCAGCAAAAGAGGTTTCTTTCTTTCTTCTTTGCTTATTTGCCGTGACCCGGACCCCACCCCCCCCCTCCTCCCAAAAAAAAAAAAAAAAAGAGAGGTCGGGTGCCATGACCAGGGCCAGGGCGAGGTGAGGGAAAAGAAGCAGAGCCAACTTACACCGTCAGAAGAGGAGCGATAGGGATCCCTTTGCTTCGCGACACGTGTCGTCGTCTACAGACTATACTCTCCGTTGCTCATCGTCGAGTGCCGTTCATGAATTGATCACAAGTGGGGTAGGGGTAATTGACAGGACGGCAAACCTCTGAATGTCGGGCTGCTTGCATGTGAAGCTTCCCCCGACCCCCTCCGCCCACCCCAGCCCCCTTCCTCCCCTTCAACCTCCCCCTCCAGTTCCCCGTCCCCCGCTCGTCGTCCCCGGATAGGAGGCCCAATTTCACGCACCAAGCATTGTCCCTCGATAGGCCGTGGGACAGGGGAACGGGGGAGGGTTCGTACCACGGGTGAGGTGCGTTGGGATTGGGACTACTGGGCGGCCTCGACTGGGCCCAGTCCCATGGGCGGTTCTAGCGTTCCATTCGCGAGCGACCACCGGGGGCCTAGTCCCACTACCGTCGTTCCCCGAACACAACGCACCCTCATTTTGGCTGTATCTGGCCGGAATATAACTTGTATGCATTCGTTTTAAGGGTGCGTTATGCTCGGGGGGAAGAGGGTAGTAGCAGCGTTGAGTTACCTCAACGCCTGAATGTAGATGAGTTTGTGGAGATGTGCAGAAATGGCGTTGAGTTTCCTGAACTGCACATCTCCACAAACACGTCCACATTCGGGCGTTGAGGAAAGTCGACGCTGCTATTAGTGGGACTTGGGCCCGGGCCTGGTTGCTCTGTTGGTACACCCATGAACCGTTGAAGTACTGGACTGAGTTCGAATCCAGCTGAACTCCCGTTTCCGGAATACAACGAACGGTCATTATTGCTGTATTTGGGGGATCTTTTCGTCTAAATACAGCTATAATGACCGTACGTTGTATTCGGGGGAAGAGGGTAAATCACTGAAATCCGATCACTATAAATTACCCGCGGCCTCTCTCAAGCTCGAAAATTATATACAACTTTAATCTGTATCTATACATATATATATATCGTCAAATAGAACTGCCCGGTAGACCGTAGGCAGAGAGGGAGAAGAGGACAACAAACGAGGGGCTGTGACAAACTGTTTCGTCGGAGTTTCACCGACTCATCAGGAGGCTGAAAAAATCTCACCCAACGGGGAGGATGAGCCCACTCCACTTGTCATTTTTTCAATTTTTCTACAGGCTGGCCGTAAAACCAAGGTCAAGGTCCCACTTGCGCAAATTAGTGGATTTCGGCCGTTGATCTTTGCTATCTACGGTCAGTATCTCTTAAACCACCAGTACATGGCCCAGCTATCGAGTCCGAGCCTCGGCCGACCGGTACGACAAACCGTGCCGAGGCTCGGACTTCCCGAACGTCGGAGTGAAACGAACGAAAAAAACGGGAAAAAAAAAACGAAAGAAAAAACGAAAAAAAAAAGTAAAAAAAAGTATGGCAGTGTATATTCCCATGCTATAGCGCCAGATTCATTCGATTTTGCTCATCCTACGAAGGGCGCAGTACCATGAGGCCAGCCGCGACGAGAGAGAGAGAGAGAGAGAGAGAGAGAGAGAGAGAGAGAGAGACAGAGAGAGGGGCGGCGAGTTCGCCGCCCCTCTCTCTGTCTCTCTCTGTCTCTCTCTCTCTCTCTCTCACACACACACACACACACACACACACTCACACACAAAAACAAGTAAGGCAGTGTATATCCCAAGCTATAGAGCCACATTCATTCGATTTTGCTCATCCTATCGAGGGCGTAGTACCATGATGCCAGCCGCGACGAGAGAGAGAGAGAGAGAGAGAGGCGGCGACCTCGCCGCCCCTCTCTCTCTCTCTCTCTCTCTCTCTCTCTCTCTCTCTC